GAACTGTTTTTCTCCCCAGCACAGCCTGTCCCATGCCCATTATGGCCAGATCCTGCAGGACTGGGCATCCACAGCAGAAATAAGAGCTGAACCATGAGCGTGCTGCTGTATTTATTATACCCACACCGTGACAGGGGCTGTGCCAGCAGTGCCTGAGGTCCCACAGTGGGCTGTATTTAGTTATACTATGTGCACACTGCTGTTGCCATTCTGTGCTAGAAATGGGAAGTGGGTACTCGATCACAAGTGAGACAAGCACTAAATAAAAAGCATTTAAGTCTAGCATATCATGCCCAAAAAGAAAGGCGGGCAGCAGGATCATCAGCATTGAAACAGAATGAAGGGCCAGTCAGCAGGCAAGGCCAGAACATCTCACTGCCATGTAAAGAGTACCACTGCCTTCCATTCCCAGCAACAGTTCTGCAATGCTCCACTGCCTCATTTCTCTGCTATTCCATGTCAGCCATGGTACCAATTGTTTGGATTTGGATGGTGTCTTCCATGTGCTTGTAAGGCACACACACAGAATGCAAGGGCACTGCAGCTTCCTCTGAAGCACTTCTCCACTGCAGTTTCATGAGCTTCAGCATTTGGTCAATTAAAAAGCTACTCTTACCTACACACAAGAAATATCCTTTAACACAAATCACATCCCAGTTTACACATCACACAATTCTGTAATTTGACTATAGCAGTATTTAATTTCTGGAACTTTTTCAGTGGGCTGAAGCTTAAGCATTTGCTTGGGAAAGAATGGCAACCTGTGCACAGAAGTAAATTAATCTAACTTAAGTTCCAGAACACTCACCATCACAGAAACAGGCTTATTCCTGAAAGCCACAAGCTAAGTCTGGGGCTGCACAGGTACAGAGCTGCTGCCTCAGGACACAAGAGAGGCACAAGGAACCACAAACAACACATTTGAAGGACAGTCCCTCTCTGCTCTTTAAAACCTACCGAATCCACTTCCAAATGCCAAACTTGACTTGACAGAAGGCAAATTTCGCTGATAAAAAGAACTTACACGCCATGGATCCGCTTGTGAATGTTGATGGTGTATTCCCGAGTTACTACTTCGTTGATGGCAGAGCGCCCCTTCTTCTTCTCGCCGCCTTTCTTTGCGGGAGCCATCTCAGCGACGCTACAAGGCACCGCGCACACATCAAACGCACCGCTCGGACCTTCCCCGTCCCCAGCCCTTCACAAACCGCGCAACTCCCACATTCAGAAACTTTAACCCGAGCTTCATTAACCCCCGGGGTCGCACCAGTGGCAGGCTCCACGCAGCGACTTCCCAGCACCACAGATGCTTTACTTCCATCTCCCTGAGGAGAGCAGGGAGTACATCCGAGACCCTTCGACCACCTCGCATTAACATCGGCCTCCCGGCCAGCCCCAAGCCCCCTCCCTCCGCAAGGCGACCCAGGAGGCAGCTCAGCCCGTCCCGGGATGCACATGACGGGGCCAGACCGGCTCCTCCCCGGGCCAACAGCACGGGCCGCATCCCCGTCCCACGAGTCCCGCGGGCCTCCGCGGGCCCGGGAAGAGCAGGAGAGAGGCCCCATTCCCGCCGAATGCGGACGCGCCGGGAGATCCCAGCGGGTGTCCCCCTTGCCGGGCCGCCCCCCATGCCGGGCCGGGCCGCATTCGCGCCGCGCCGCGGGGTCTGCGGGGCGGATGGAGGCGGATTCGGCGGGACCGGCCCCGGGACACACTCACCCTGCCCGGGCACCGGCCGGAAAGGAGCGCGCGGGGCACGCTGGGAAACAGGAGCTCTTCCGGGATCAGGCTGGGAAGCGACTGCGCCGGCGGCGGGAGGGGCTGGCATGGGGGCGGTGTCAGCGTGTGCCGGTACCGGGGTGTTCTGTGGGCACTGTCAGTGTGTGCCGGTACCGGGGTGTTCTGTGGGCACTGTCAGTGTGTGCCGGTACCGGGGTGTTCTGTGGGCGGTGTCAGTGTGTGCCGGTACCGGGGTGTTCGGTGCCCGCCCGCTTCCTCTGAAGGGTCTCTCCCTTTTCCTTGGAGTGGTGTGTGAGGAACCCAGCTTGGTTCCTCATGGAGGAATGCTCAGTGGTGCTTCCAGCAAGCGTTTTGCCTCTTGCAGATCTGGAGCTCCTGCTCTCCAGACAGAACCGAGGCATCCCGGCGTGGGGCAGTAGCCTGATGAAATCACCCGCCTGCCTGGAAAACCGACCTGAGCTGAGGGACTGTGTTGGGACAAGCTGGGTTTTGGCTATAATGAAGTAGAACAGCCCAGCTCTGTCAGGAGGACTGGCATTGCCTTGTGTGTGCAACAGAGAACAAGGACAACAATCCCAAACCAGAACGTGTGTATGGGGAAGAGCATGAAAAACTAAGTCTTGAAGTAAATCTGCTCTTGTGAGCCGTCTGTATTCCTTCCAAGCATATTAAACCAGCTCAGAAGAAGGCAACCCCATGCTATTCACAGCATCTCTCTGTTAATAGCTTACAGCACCACTGGTTTTAGAAAGTTAAGTATTTGCTCCAAGGCTGAGTTTTGTTTGGACGTACCACTGGCAATTGGGAGAGATGTGGGTTTGTAATCCCTGAGAGTGGAACAAATTCTTAAAGGAATTTTCCCTCCCCGTGTCTCCTGCCATAGTAGTTGAGATCTGTCAGCTGCTGCTTCCACAGGTATTTCCTCTGAGGTGCTCATATTCCTTCATTACCTCTTCCTGGATGACTTTTGGGCTTACAGATTTGTCCCCTCCCTTCCCAGGAGTGGCTGGGATTTATGAAGTTACCCTCTAGCTTATTTAGCTTTGTCTGCAGTTAATGGAAGGAGAGAGGTTCCTTCAGACATTAAGTGAAACTTACACATCTAGCTTTCCAGTCTTCATCTGGTGGGGTCACTCTTGCTTCACTGAATACAAGACTTTAAAGGGATGAGCAGGCTAATTCACCCTGGTAACTAAAGTTAGTAGTAAAAACGCTTTCTTAGAGACCCAATACTTGATTCCCTCATCTTCTTTCAAAGAGGGATGAAGGACTGAAGTACACTTGCACCTATCAGTGCTACCACCCAATCTTGCAATTGAAGCATCACAGTAATTTTGTCAATGGATTCTTCAGGAGATTTTTAGCTTTTTCAGAACTCAGGGCAAATAAGCTTTTTTTCATTTCCACAAAAGTTGACTTTCACAATTTCCAGCTCCTAGCCCAGTTACCTCTATGGCATAGGAACCAGAACATGTGGGCCCTGCTGATGTGATCCTTGGTACTCAAGGGAGGGAAGGCCACGTGTTCCCTTTGTTGAACTTCATGCTGGCTCCAGTGGCTGCAAGCTGCCCTGAGGGCCATCCCCTTTCAGTCCTACTGAGGGGAATGAAGACATTCCTGTGCTCAGTCACCCACCTCGATCTGTGCTGGAGGTTCTCCCTGTCTGCAGAGAGAAAGCAAGCCTGTACCTTGGCTGCTCCATCCTGCAGTCAATTTGAATTCAACATGAAAAGGAGCCTGCACAAGGATGCTAAAGTGGAAACCAGACTATCTACAGGGCAAGTATTCCAGAAGATATGTGCCCCAAAACTCAGGACAGCAGTGTCTTAATACACTGATGCTGGACATGGGTCAAAGCCCTGGCCTATGCTGAATCAAACTGTTCTTTAAACCATGTTTTGTGCTAATATAAAACTCTGTGGTTGGAAGTACAAAGCTGCCTGAGGTCTTTAAAGGTGCTTAAAATGAGCTGTCTTCGCTTGCAGCTAATAAAACTTCCTGAGCTTTCATTCTCAGTGTCTATGCCATGACAAAAACTACAAGGGAAAATACTGGGTTTTGCTAACTGGGTGCCCAACACCATTCAAGTCGGCGGCTAAGATTAAAAGTCTAAAGTGAATCACATAGTTCAACACTCACAGGAAAATGTGTGCAAGTCCTGCTTAATAAAGCCTTTTGGCTATTTTATTTTATTCTACAAATAAAGACAACTGTCCATCATTAAATGGAAAAAAAATAATAGTTTGAGTTGTATATAGCATGAAACAGTAGTTCCCTTCACAAAAACATCTCTAGTTCATTAGTTTATTACAAAATACCCACTCACAAAAAAGCACAAGCACAATCTTTATACTTGTGAAATGAGTTGATATTTCATATACAAAATAATTTCCACATAATTCCATATAATTTTATTTTATATAGAAATAGGTCATTATTACAACAGCTATACAATACACTACTTTTTATTTAATAATTACATAAAATCTTTTTTAGAAACATATCAACGGAAAACATACAAAAAAAGCGAAAAGTGCATTTTCTTTTTTTTCCCCTCCAAAGGAAAATTTAATCCTAAATGTTATAATGAAAGAGATATGTAATAGTCTGCAGCATCCCGAGTCAGTGGGCCAAAACACAGTGCATATTTCTGAGAGACTTGGAGTGGGTGAGTTTAGGTTGAAGAAGGATTCGTGTTGTACTACTGGAGAATTGCGTGATTGTGCTTACAATTTGAGTTCTCCTTTGCAACCACAATTCATGTATGAAACAGTCCAGTGTGGGTTGTGGGTTTGTCTTTTTGGTTGGTTTGTTTTTAGTAATGAGGAACAGTTAGGGTAAGCTGCATAATACTTTTCAGATTCTACATCAAGGGTTATGAGCTGTAGACCATCTTCACCAATGGCTGGGCTTTTTCCTCCATTGGATGTGCTAATTTGGCCACAAGAATAAAGAAACAAACTTCTCTTTACAGAAAGTGCCTAGGTTTTCTCATCTGTGCAGTTGTGCAAAATAATAATAATAATAATCATAATAAAAATAATCTCTTGTTCTCTCCTCGATAGACCTTTGACGCAGTGCTTTTCATACACAAAAGAAGAACTGAAACAGTGAAGGCCAAGTACCTCATGAGTCTGTCGACAGTCTTTTGGAATTGCCAGATGGCTTCCAGAGTGACACGCTGGGACTGAACGCCTCTTCCCGTGCTCCCAGCGGTGACGGAGGCTGCACAGGATAGCGCTCCTTTTCATTCTGCTCTCTCAGTACATCCTGTGCTCACGACACAGCGCGAACGGAAGCCAGCGTGCCGTGAATGCGCTGTCTGTGGCAGTCTGCGCTCTGGGCGTACTTCTGTCATAGAGCTTGGAAAGAAATGCTTGTGCAAAAGCCAGAACAGTAAGTACAAAGTCATTCTCTTCTGCCCCGTGTGCCCATTGGTTAAAGCTAATCGTGCATTGATTGTGCTGGTGGGACTCTATCGCAGTGGCTGCGGTAAATTTGATGATTCTGATAAACTATTCCTTCTTCTTGATGTTAGTTGCTGTTGATGCTGCTGCTGCTGCTGTGTCTGATGATAGCCCATATTTCCTTGCTGTGGTGAGTAAGATGGCAGGAGCAAAGAATCGGGTTGTTCATTGTGCAAAGAACTTGGTGTTTGCACCTACAGATAAAATAAAATTTGTCACGGTGTTTGATTCTTTCACGCATTAATGCTCTTTGTCCTTAGGTTACAGGATGCTTAAAAATACTCTTGGTTTGCTGGCTTTTATTTCTGGAGCTGTTTGGCATGAGGGTAGCTTAACTAATGCTAGAAGGAATGGACATAAATTGCAACAAAAAACATTGCATTTAGGCATTGAAAAGGTTTTCTCACAGAAATGCATTGCCTGGGATTTGCAGGTTATCCTGAAAAGCCTGTTTGGGAACCGTGTGGCTGAACATATCAGAAATGACACGGATGGGTGGCAGAAATGAAACAGGATTCTAATATGCCTCATGCTGTAGCCCTTCTAGCCCTTCCTTTTCCTGAGCTTACAGTTGGGTGTGACCTTGCAGTGTTGATGTGAATTTTGCAGATGCTTTATTGGAAACAGTATCTGCCAGACTTTTTTTTTTCATTAATTCTCAGGCTATGATAAGGATTTAATTTCAGTAACAAGGGTTTAATCATTTGAGGTTGGTTATACTCTTTCAGTGATGCCAGTGGATACGTGACCAGGTTTCATAGACTCAGTTCAGCTCCTGTTGAACTAATACAGAGACACCTCATTTCCCCCCTTTACTTTAGTATGTGTTGAATTAGGTCAAAAAAATAAGTATTTTTACATCTTCAAATCACCTGGTTCTTCCAGGCAACGTGCTCCACTTTATGTTTTTTGCCTTGTGGAGTTGAGAAATATGTTAGTTTCCTGAAGGGATCCAGATATCTGATCCAGATCTATTTTATGTTGATGCTGGTAATTAAAAATCATCTTTTGACTTGTAAACTAAGCAATTTTATTCTGAATAAAGAGAACAGAACAAATCCTAAGGCATTCATTTTCTCCAGCTGGAAATAAACTTTAAATATATCCAAGATAATCTGATTATGCTTTAAATGTACAGAATTAGTAATTTCCTTTTAAATATTCTGACTGTTCCCACTGCTCCCTTGCTGTACTAGTACTGGCCACTGTAGCAGTGTCAGAAGTCAGAATCTCTTTAACGGACATTCCTGCCAGGATCAGGCTCCAGCAGACACCTGGGGCCCCTCTTGCACAGCCCACTCACCTTGTTACTCTGAGTGCACACTTTATACATCATCCTCTCTGTCCTACCTGCAGGTAGCGTTGTTGCTGATGCTGTTGGTGCTGGAGTTGCATAGGTGCCAAAGAGGATGGCTGGGAAGGAGGGGTAGTGGTGAACCCTTGGTTTAACACTGCTTGTCCCATCAGTACGATTGGAGAGCTGCTGCTGGAAGTCTGCACTTCCAAACTTTGAAACATTTGTTGGGTTTGAGAATATCTATGGAAGAAAGAAGTAAAACAATCAAGAACCAAGTGTTGGAAACAAAGGTGTTCTCTTAGAAGGGGGATGGCAATCTCTAGCCTTCCTAACTCATAGAATCACAGCACACTGCCAGTTGGAAAGGTCCTTAAAGACTGTCTAGTGCCAACCTGCCTCCCATAGGTGGGGACATCTTCCACTAGACCAGGTTGCTCAGAGCCCCATCCACCAATCTGGCTTTGAACACTTACAGGGATAGGACATCCACCACTTCTCTGGGCAACCTGTTTCAGTGCCTCACCACCCTCACAGTAAAGAATTTCTTTCTAGTATCTAATGCAAACCTGCCCTCCTTCAGTTTAAATTCACTAACTTTTGTCCTATTCCTATATGCCCCTTCTCTCTTGTAGCCCCTTCTAAGATAGTGGAAGGCTGCTGTAAGGTCTCCCTGCACCTTCTCTTCTTCAGCCTAAACCCCCCCCCACATAATTCCCAATAAATTATTCCAGTGCATGGGACCTGCTAATATGAACAACAGCACTATTGGCAGCACTGCTTTCCCTTACTCTGTGTATAAGCTGGGCTTGAAGGGAAGAATACATTTCACCTCAAAATCCAGATCACATTTTAGATTAATTAAGGATTCTGTTTATGCACATCTTGTTTTCAGCCACAGCATTCACATCCCTGGCTCATTAAACCAAATGGCCTTTGATTCTGTTTTAATATGCTGAGCCCTGAACTGCAGCAAGAGAGAAGCAAACGCACTCCTGTCCTGCTGCCTGTGCTCCCCTGTGACTGCCTGGGGGGTGGTGATCTCCTGCAGACACATGGCTAGGGTTGATTACTTCTTAAGCTGCTCACACACATATTGCCACGTACAATCAGCAGTTCCCATCACCATGAGCCCCACTCTAAGAACAGAAGAAGCCTCTAGAAACCCTCTGGAACAAGGGATGTGACAGAACCAAAATACTCGTCTCCTCTTGCCATTCTGCTTTTGCAGAGCAAAACTTAAATATGTGTTGTTTTGTGGAAGGCTGTGAGCAAAACCGCAATGGAACTATTGCCAACCCAGCCTAATTCTGTTTATCCTGTAAAGGGTGATGAGATCATAGTGTGGCTTGTGTTCACTCAACAGCTGTTCAACATTAGGGTTTAGTTAGAAATGCTACAGTCTGGGTACTTGTATGAGGATGTGAGCTCCTATAAAAGGGTCCCATGAGTCAGGAAGTCTACATGAGCTGGGAGATGCATCTTTGCAAATAAGGCCTCTTTTATTCAGAGGCTTAAAAGCAGAGCTACAATATTTACATTTGACAAATTAACTCAAGATAATCTTAAACAACAATAATGATGTTTAAAAAAGGAAGTAGCGAATATCTACGTCCTGAGATAACATTAGAAGAACACTGTTTTATAAAAATAATTAATTTTAAAGGAATGATGTGCAAACAGTTGCTTATTATTTTATCAGTTCACAATTCAGTACAGTGACAAAAAAAAGGTATATTTTGACCAGCGTGTTCTGCTTCCTTCATCTAAGTTTTGAGGAGACAAAACAACTGAGGTGAGGCTTTCCATTTTCACCAGTCAGTTAACTGAGCCAGTGCTGACTTTCTCACATTTACCTTGGTGAGTCAGAAGTTCTAGTGCTGAAGCAGGCAGCATCTGAAGAACAAAAATTCCCCCAGCCATGGCCTGTTAAAACGCTACTGGCATTTTTGTTTCTCTCTGTCACTCTTCCTGATATGACCAGGCACGGTAAGGCTGACCCTGATGCTGGAAGGCAGGGTCAGCAACGTAACACATTCTCAATATTTATAACTACTTCATCATCTTACAAAAGAAAGCTACTTCCCCTCCAAAGCAACTTTGATGTTTTATCTTCAACAAGGCACGTACTTGGCCTGGGATCCCGCCATGCTGAGGTCTGAAGGGTGTCTTGCATTACAGGACCCAGGCATCATGGGCTGAATAGGCTGGCTAAGCAACAATCTGGCACATGAGGGGAAAAAAAAAAGACATTGCTGGAGCAGAAGTACCGTACAAATCCCAGACTGTGCAAAGAGAAGCGGCATTTTCACAGGCACCAGGCCGAGTGTGCGGAGCTCTGACCCAGCTGCTGGCTGTGGCAGGCGCGTCCTGGGCGCCGTGAGGCGGAGACGGGCAGCGCCTGCCCTCTGGGGTGATCTGGGTGCCGGACCTCATAAATCACATTTTTTACCATTATTATCTGCTAAGTGTACGGATGCTTGAATAATATTTTACAACTTCGGTTAAATTCACCTTGTGCTCTTCAAAGCCAGCAGCAAGGTATCAGTTTTCATTACGCTACGGGGTCAGACAGCTACACTTCGGGAATTTTAATCCACCCGTGCATTACTGCAGTCCCAAGAGCCCCGTTCCCGCCGGGCAGAGCTGGAAGCTGAGCGCTGCCGAGCGCGGAGCCCGCCCTACCTGAGCTGCTGGTCGTGGCTGCAGCCGGCGGGCGCGGGGGTGCCGCCGCGGGACAGGCCGCCAGGGGGCGCCGCGGAGCCGCCGCCGCCTGAGGCGAACGGCGCGGGCGAGGGGCGGGGCGGGGGGCGGCCGCCGCCCGGCGCCAGCTCCGCGCTCCGCGCCGCCTTCGGGCCCTGCAAGAGAGGAGGAGAGAGCGGGGAGACAGCCCGGCTGCGGCACCGGTGCCTGGCGGTGCCCCCAGCCGGCTGCTGTCACCATACGCCCAATGACTGTCATGGCCACGGCTGCCCCGGGCCCGCTCCTACCGGCCGGCAAACCCAAACGACCCCCCAGTTAAGGCAGGAGCAAAGTTAAGCGCGAGGAGCTGCCGCCAAGCACCATGATAGAAAAGAAAGAGATCAAATAAAAAAAAGTGGTGTTTTTTTGTTTTTTCTTTTGTTATTTTTTCCCCCCTATTTCACAGAACAGGTCAGCTTGGAAGAGACCTCAGCGGGACATCTGGTCGGGCTTCCCTCCTCCAGCAGGGTCATCCCAGAGCACATGGCTCGTGTCTAGGCTGTTCTTGAGAATCTCCAGTGAGGGAGACTCCACACCCTATCAGGGCAACCTGTTCCAGGGCATGGTCACTCACACAGTGGCAAAGAAGTTCTTATATTCCGATGGAGCTTGCTGGGCATTAGTTTCTGCCCCTTGCCCTGTATTTGTTACACGCTCTCTGTTTTAATAGAGTCATTATAACACAGGTATGAAGGAGGTGAAATGCTACAGCTGGAGACTCAGAAGACAATAATGGAAATATGCTTGCCACGCAATCAGGAAGCTGAGGAGCTCAGTTTTCTGTGAAGGGAGGTACTACAGGTGGGTGGAAGAGCAAACACTGGAAATGTTGAGAAACCAGCAGTATGAACAAAAAATACAGTGCCAAACCTAATAGCTTTCACAGATCTCAGTTACTGCTCAGGCTGAACTTTATTGTGCTCTGCAGGAACCTGTTAACGTTCACAGCCTGAGGGTCTCAAATGAATCTCCATGTATTCTGTGTGCCACCACAGCAGACAGGCTTTGTTGCGTTGGTGGTGTCCGACTGGGCTCAGGGAGCAAGTGTTCTCAGAGGTCTCACTATTTCAAGTTTCCAGTGTGATCAGTCAGGTTTCTTTCAGGACCACCTGAAGACCAGTAAGTCACCAACACATTTTGCATGCTCCCCTGCTCCATTTTCAAGCTGAAACAGCTGCTCAAGTAACCCTCCTGGCTGAGATCTTAAAACAAGGCTTTAAGGAAAAGGTAAATGCTGTAGGGTAGCCCGTTTTATAGGCTGCCCTTATACAGAAGAATAAGAAAGGGAAGGCAAAGGCACAGTTACAGGACTGACATTATTTTACTCGCTTTCTCAAGAACAGCTCAGTGTCTCCTTTCCACCTAAATGCTTCTCTGTTCAAAGAAATGATTACCTGGCTCGATATCACGCTTGCTTCTCTCAGTGACTGCTGGTTCGTCGTTTGTGAAGATGTGATCGGCCCTTGAAGTTGAGAACTGGGGACAAGCTGCTGCTGAGAAAGGGCCCCTGATCGCTGCTGTAGCTGTTGTGGGTCCAGCTGCTGAGTATTGCTAAAGCTCAGGGACACTGTTGGCTGCTGTAAGATCATCTGGAAAAGAAGAGGGGAGGATTTATTTACATAGCCCAGATGTTTTGAATAATGAATGTGACAGAAGTAAATCTAAGATATATTCTAAAATAAAATTATCAAATTTCTGGATTCATAACACATTTACTGTTAGTTGGAAATCATTCCTGCATTTACAGCTCTACTGTCTCTAGTTTCTTGGTTTCTTGTTTTGCAAGTGCACTCACTACTTGTGAAATCTGTCTAGAAGGTGCAAGTCCTCTCTCAGTGGGGCAGGCACAGCCCTCTTAAGAGCAGTTCCCAGTACATTCACTGTGTTCTGGGGCATCCTGACCAAAGAGAAGACAGTAACTCCATGTCTTTTCAGTCCTTTTGTTTCTCCTTTCAACAAAATCCACCTGCCTTTCAGACAGAACTGTCTTTGAATTTGTCTCTACACTTTACACCCAGCTGAGTTGTCAGTGTTTTTAATGAGGCCACAGTCAGGCCAGAGCTCTCCAAGCTGAATGGCCGTGTCCTTATCATTGACAGGATGTGTAAACAGACAGTCGCTGTCATTTATCTGATTTCCCATCAGGTAACTGTCACCTGGTGTTCTTCCTAACTGTGCCATGCATTTGACTTGTGCAAAAGAGCTAGCAGCTTCTCTCTTAGTGTTTCTGTAAGTGATGTCCTCTTTACTTTTGCATTTCAAGATGAAGCTTTCTTCTTTAAAAGTTACAGGACTTGGGAATTTTTCCTTTTCTAGGGGCATTTCTTTTATTACAGCTGTAAAGAGGGAAAAGTAATCTTTTAAAACCATGCATTGTTAATGCCACAAGCTCTCTTTGCAGTATTTCAGACCTAGCCTTTCTGCCACCAAGGGCTGTAGGAGATACACACCCCACAGAGCTGCCGTAATTTTTGGATCTGATTCTGATTCCACACCACTGCTACATGTGTGGAACTCCATTAATTTAAGTGAAGCTACTTAAGTTTTAAATGAAATCAGAATCACAATTATTCTCTTCATTATTCATCCATCAGTCTCATGCCTAGCAGTACCTCTGAGGTATGCCCAGTAATTAGTACACCTTTGTGCAGCTTATTGCTGTATTAACAATTCCCTAAACTATCATGTCCCCTCTGATTTTTCCTGGAAAAAGCCCATACCTTTCTCCAAAGGCCCAGTATAATGTATTGCTTTTCTCTGCAGAAGTATGGCTTGATCCATCATGGTTGTACTTATTTATCTAGCTTTAAAAACACAGCTTATTTAAATATGATAAATTTTTAATTAATTTATGCATGCCAGGATTTTACCCAGGAAAAAAGGTACAGGCAAAGCTTATATTAATCAGCTAGGAGAGGGGGGAAATTTAGGAAAAGCAACATCTTGTTTCAGCTGCTGTAGGCTAACCACATCTCAGAGATGTCTGATAGGAATAAATGGGTCAAGTGACAGGGTTGGGGCTGCTGCTTGCAGCAGGTCTGAAACTAGCTCTGGGTGTTTTCTTTTAAAAACACTGCTCACTGAGTTTGGAGCCATTACATATCAGAAAGACAGATGGTCTTGCAACTTCTGCCAAATAAATAGGTCTTATTATGAATAAATCAAAGACAAATATAATGAAAATTAATTTTCTTGTTTATTTTCTGTACATAGAAGCTAAGTTTTGGACATGTTTAGTACATGAACTCACTTGATAAGCCCTAGCAGTGAGACAGGTCACCACTGATGTAAAATTTGATATAAAATTCAGAACAGGCAAAGTAAGTGGTGCATGTGAAAAAGGTGATGGGGAGGGAGTGTGAACCCTCTGGTACGGGACAGATCACTGCAAATTAAGACCTTTAGGAGGATTCGCTTAGTGTCCTCCTTGTACGTGGCACACAGCACTGGAGAAACACTCAGTTCACCCAATGCAAATTCAGCATCTATCAAGCCGAATGTCAGCTGGGGTGTGAACTTGCAGCAGACTACTTATTTAGCAGGGACCTCCCTGTGTGCTTACCTCCCTTCCAGATGAAGGCCAAGGAGTTTATCCTCCAAAGACAGCAGAGTAACCTACTTTGCAATTACAAGAGTGTGCCACTGGGTAGGAACGTGCACAGTTAATGGTTGGCAGCTAACACACCATAAATTTAGAACCAAGTTTATCCCAGTAGGCCAATTTCATTTGTTCATATGTTCGTACCCTGAGAGGGCTCTGAGTGTTTCATACCTGGGAACCCTCTGTTGCCATTATAATGGCCCAAGCAGCATTGTTACCCTCTGGACATAAATGACCTGGAAAAAAACAAGCTTAGAGCAGGAAACAATGGTGGCCATGTCCCTGCAGAACTGAAAAATCAAGATGCCTTATCAAAACAAGAGTTAACCTGACAAAGGATTGAAGCATGGAATTTCCACCTGTTAGTTAAACCTAAAAGCTTAATTTGTACAAAACTTAATGGTTGTTTTTCTTAATGTGCCTCTTTTGTGAAAGTCTTGTCTGAATTCCCCCAAAACACTGAAATACAACAGCTTTAAATAACAAGAAAAGCCTTTTCATAAAAAATAAAGTCTTTCCCTAAGTAGATGAATTAGCAGCCTCCTAACTGTATTGCTGCTAATGACATGTCTTGTTGGTGATTTTGTGGACTGCAAGGTCAGTGAGGCATCTTACAAACATTTTTTAATTGGCCAGATTGTTAACATACACAGCAAAGCAGCAAGGGAGAGGAGGGACCCTCTGACACTGCTGCCCCCTCATTCTAGGATAGAAGGGCCCTACAGCTAATGGCTGAACCACACTGACAAGGCATCCTGAGGAAAACATCTCTTTGACTCCACCTGTCCTTTGGATAATCGGGGGATTACAGCTTTTGGGCTCATCATTACAGGCATCAAGACTCTTTCTCTATGTAAAATGTTTAAAGATGAGAAGCACAGCACTGGGAAGCTGAGATTCATGACTTCGAAGAGAGCCTGCTTTGCAAATGATGGGTGGCTGTGGATGGTCTTGATTGTAGTTCTTGCAAGCTGGTCAGGCTCAGCCTTTCTGCCTTCCTCTTGCATCTGTGAATCATTAGCTAGACTGTTCAAACTGGAGCAGACACAGCATCCTTCAGACTTCTGAGGTTACTCTTCCTGCTCTTGTCCTCCATTGTCAGGAAAAGCAGTAACAGGGATCTAATGGCGTTTTGAACACTTTTATTCAGGATCTGCAACCCTCCTGACAGTTTCATCTTTCTCTGCACAAGACTCCTGCAAACAGTTTCTAATGCAGACTACTGTGCTACACATCTGTCTGTCTGGGAAAGCATTTCTTGGTGGACTGCTGTACTCAGTTTTGAAGATCTCTGAAGGAAATGGAAATCAAGCTTAATTCTCCATGGAGCTACCTGTACACTTCTATGTGGAAGGGAGTGAACCAGTGGGGATGATATGCTAATAAATCAGCTAATAAGGGAAAAGCAGGGAACACTTTCCCCTTTTCAGACAGCCTACATCACTCCCCCATGCTTACAGCTCTATTATGCAGTGTATTAAAGACACCAGAAATGTGCTTGATAGTAGCCAGTTTGTTACTATGCATTTTAGCTTTGATAGTAGACACAGATCAATGTCTGCAGACATCCAGCTCCCTGAATGATGAAATCTGTGCAGCAAAGCACGTGGCTGGATTTCTGATTTAACAGTTTACTCCTTGCTGCTTGCAAGTCGCAAAAGAGCTGCATGCAAAAGTGTGCAGCTTTCTTTCAAATTGCCCCAAGCCAAGTAAGACAAAAATTATTCCTCATCTCAATCTATCCCTGCAACAGCACCATAATTTCTTTGTGTGTTTTTTGGTTTTTTACCTAGAGAAAGTGGGAGAAGAAAAAGGTCCTGGCCAGGAGTCAGTGTGACCACTTGCATTTCATCACCTTGTTTGATTGCTCTGAGGAGACCAAAAAGCACACAAAATACAGAGGATGTATTCTCCATCCAGCATTGTCATTTAAGGCAAATATGCAGCCCCCTGCATTTCCAAGCTCTTTCCATTCTCCCTGCCTCTCAGTACTGCACCACAGTAAGCTGGGAATTGGTAGGTACTGACGACACAAGAGAACTTGTAATGGTCTGAAAATACTTGGTCCCACCTGGTGCAGTTTTCATGGAAGAGGGCATCACCCAGATGGTGTAACTCAGAGCTACAAACTGGTAAGGGGGTGGGGGGCAATACAGATCAGCCCACCATTTATTTACCTTCTGGGCCTCTGCCTGAGCTCCCTGTGAGTGTATTTGAGAATCTGTCCCATGGTCTTTGTGCAATTAAATGCAGCCTAATGCATATAGGAGACAGCTTTCTAAAAATAAAATCTGAAATCTGTTTCTTACATATAAGAATGTGCTCTGAAAGTCTGTTTTTGCCTGAATGATGAAAAAAAAGAGCGTGTATGATTACTGAAGACGTCACCAGGAGAGAGTAATGGTTGTCACCCAATTAAAAAGAGAGGAAGTGAGAATATCATGTCTCTTGATATTCATAATAACAATAATAGCTTTCAGACATATGACATGATTCTGAACTGAACACCTGTTAATTGCATAGAGACTTTCTCTTCCCATTAATCAAAGTCAGCAGAGAACCAATAGAAGAAAGACACTGAAGCTAAACCTGGTCTCCCTGTGTGATTGTATGGCACCAGGAACAGGGAGTTCTGGGTTTGGAACCCACAGCTGCTGTGTCGTCTTACAGCAGTGCACATGCAGCAACTTAGGTGGCAAA